TAAGAGAGAAGGGAGAGAGTTATTCTTCTCTCATTTTTGAGAGAGAATAATAAGAGAAGAAATGAGGATGCTGGCCCTTTGGGCCAGCCGTTTGGAGCTATATATATCCCTTCCCAAACGAAGTCGTTTTGGGAAGGGGTATATGCTTAATTTACACGTATGGACAAACCCTTTCCGCAGCCATCTTAGTTTTGTATCATTCCATTTTAGTCACTGAAATCATTTCCTATATGTCGTGATTTAGTCCTTTAATTATATTTTCTTATAATTTAGACCTGATCGAATATTTATAAATAATTAAGGTAAAATACGTATTTAGTCCTTACCCTTTCAATAATATTTATTTTAATCCTGACTAGTAATTTAGGTACATATTATAATTAATCCCTTAAACTTTATTAAAATTTATTTTAGTCCCGTATTTTTTTAGGATTAAATTACATTTTAATGTATATACTACATAATATTTATAACTATGGCCATTAATTGTTTATATTCTATAATTTAATAATTAAATTTTATATAATTTTGACCATAAGTTTTATATATCTTGCAATTTAATTCTATAATTGTAATTTCTTTTATATTTTAGTTATTTTAGTTTTTTACTATTATTACTTATATATATATATATATATATATATATATATATATATATAAATATATATTTTATTCAAAATCTTATTTATAAATTTAATATAGAATAATTTTTATTATAAGCATGTTTTAATTTAATATTAAAGAAAATGATTGTCTTAAAGCACCTAGAAGTCCGTTTTCTGATTTTTTACCCTATAAAAAATATATTAATTTTTTATTAATATTTATTTAATATCGAAGAAAAGAGCTGTCTTAAGGCACCTAGAAGTCCTTTTCTGATATTTCTTAATAAATATCTTATTTATAAATTAATAGATTTTATTAAAGATACTAATAAATTTGAAATAATAAGATTAAATATATTTTGAATTTTTAAATTTCTAATAATAGAGACAATTTATAATTAAAAAGTACCAATTTTGGGCGTTGTAGGGGTGCTAATCCTTCCCTAAACGTAACCGACCACGAATCCCTTTTTATTATTAAAAAGAACGAATTTTTGGTTAAAATGCACATCAGTTTATCTTTTAATCGATGTTTATTAAAAACTCTTTTAAATGATGATTTTTAGGTATTCGACCTACCTGACCCAAAAGGCCGATGGCGACTCCCAAATTATTTAAAAAAAACCATTTATTCACATCACTTTTCCTGTTAAATAAAAAATTCGTGCCCGGACGAAAACCGGTTACGACAATATGGCTTAATGACGCAGTCATAAACATAACAATATTGTAGATGAAAAATTCACTAATCATCTTATAACATTGCATCTTTATCAAGTTTAACAATAACCATAATAAGACGTGTATCATAATATGCCAAGAACATGAAATATAAATTTAATGGTACTCTTTCGAATAATGGATACATGTCGTCGTCACCATTAATAATGCATATAACACATAATAATAGTAAATTCCTCCATCACTGTCATGGATGGATATAAGTCCGAACAAATTATCATCCATCTGTCACTAACAAGACCAAAGTTTAAATAATATGCTTACAAATGATGTAAACTCTATGACATGTCAATTATATCATGAAATTGACAAGATAATCATGAGCACTTATAAACAATAACATATCTTATCGGTTTCATATTTGAGCTCATGGCTCTTAATACAATAGCACAAGTTGTCATCCTTTGAAGCTCTAAGTGAGCCAATAATGCACATAGTGATCACATACAAGGTGATGATCGAAAATACATACAAACACAAAGAAATGGACTACACTCACCTCAACCGAAGCAGCTCGATTTAGTTTGATTACACATTCTAAAAAACCTTAGCTTTTCCTTCAGGAGTGCTAGCTTCCACCGATCCTCTTGGTTCTATTACGGTAAAAGAACATTTGATCAACATAAATTTAACATCACATATGATTAATTTAAACAAAATTCTTTTAATTTTGTCATGAACCCTAACTTGAATTCTCGTTTAAAGTTTAGAATCAACTTTCCTGGAACTACTAATGGAAAAAATATATTACGAGGATTCAAAAATATGTATTTACCTTTTGAATTAAGTGAGAGGAATGCTTTCAATTTTTAAAGAAATAGTTTAAGGTTTAGCTTGATTTTAGGGTTTCTAAAGGTTCAAAGGTTGAAGACGATGATAAAATGATGCTTCAAGCTTACCTTGTACACCTTATAACCGGTGGAAGCAACTCGACCTTAAAGGGTTTCTTAAGTTAGATTAAAGTTAAAGAAAACTAAATAAAAATTTTAATTGTACCAAAATGAATGAAACGACAAGTGAGTAGCTTGTTCATCATCTTTAAAAAGATAAAATTATACCTTTAGTCATCTATGTATCCACTTCTTACATTTTACCATGGTCTAATTTATTCTTTAGTCTTTCAACTTTTTCTTGTTCTCACTTTAGCACTTAACTTTCACTTTTTAATGAAGTCTCTTGTTTCTTCATTTATTCCTTTTTAGTGTCTAAACCTTTATCTAAATTAAATATTCTTTAACCCAACATGCAAAAATAAAATTACTATAATTCTTGGAATTATCAAATACTAAAATAAATATGTCGAATTTTTTTTATCATTAGACGTCAGAAAGAATTTAGATTAATGTTCTGGGTGTTATAGTTTCTGTCATGAAGCCCAGAATTTTTAGCAAAGCGCCGAAACGATTGATTGTCTGACTAAGGCATCCAGGGACAAAAGCATAAGGCAAGTGGAGTATATTCATCCACTGTTACATTTCCTAAAAGTATCTTCACCAATTTGTTTGTACCTTTTTAGGGTCATATATTAACGCAACCGCGGACACCTGAAGGATATTCCTCATTGACTATATTATTTCTGACTTTGAATCCATCACAGTTATTTATCTTAAAACAATATCTAAAAAATTTTAGACAGAAATCACCTCTCGAATATTTAGCCATCCACTTTCCTTTAATGAAGTAAACTACTTCCTTTCATCCTTTCCTAACCTGGGACATAGGTCCTCCATTGTTGGTTGGGTATGCTCAATCTAAGAGGAAAACCAAACTCTCTAGACAACTTTCGACTCATTTTGATAAATCTAGAATGATCCAAGTTCAGTTTCAGCTTGCTGGTCTAACTTTTAATAGGCACCCTAACCTTAAGCCAATTCTCAAGCATTCCTGTGAAACTTAAAGCCTTGTACAAATCTTTTAAGTCGCGCTAGTAAGGGTAAAAAAGTTCTGCAATAAGGCAACTGAAGGAACCCACTTCTTCTTTCAATAGAAAACAAGATAACTTATGAGAATCTACCAAGAAGCTCTATAATATTGACCCAACGCTACTCGGTAGGTGTTCAACACATCCTTCAAAAAGTCTCGCACTAAAAAATGAAACCCAACCTCCGAAACAGAGAGAGGAAGGTAAAACCACTCATGACACCCATTGTTGTCATCGCCATAGTCACTCATATGATGCAAAGCAGAGAGAAAAGTAAGCTCAAATTCGTATTTTCCCCATTGTATACCATGACTCAGTAATCTTTGCCTCATGTCGACGAGTTTTGCATTCCAAGGAACCACCATCCGTCAGGAGTGGGTGGTTCGCCTCCACCTTGTCGCAACCATCTTTCGGTTGAGCCCCGGAATTGGGCTTCGACTTGAAAAATGTGGATTGGAGTCGCCACCGACCACTTTAAAACGAATTTAGGTGGGTCGGACACCATCTTACCTGATCTGCGTTGTACCAGAGACGTGTCGGGTTCGGGAGTCGGTTACGGTTAAGGAAGGATTAGCACCCTTGAACCGCCCTTTCGGTACCAATTAATTTATCGGTTGTCTTGATTGCGAAAAAATTAAAAATTTAAATTTAAATTTAAAAACTCGATTCGAATTACTTACTTGATTGGAATTACTCTAAAAAAGTTGAAAATGTTAAATAATAAAAAAATCAAAGAAAAAAAAATAAATACAATGAAATAAAATAAGATAAAAAAATATTAAATGAAAAGGAAAACAATAACAATAAAAAATTCGGACGAATGGTGTTGAAGTTGATGATGCAATATTGCACATTTAACATCTTTAGAAAACTTTTAACATGTGAAACAAGAATTCAGCATGGTAGCCAAGTATAAAATATACGTACTCTCCAGGGATAAAAAACGAGTGTTGAAAACTTCATCTTTCAATTCACCGTTTGCAATGTCAGGATCCCGCCATAAACACGACTGAAGCATGCTGCTCCACCTCATCATTGACAACACCAGATGATTAGCGTAGATCTTGAGAGTTTTAGATTGCCTCATGACAAGACAAATTTTTCCAGTCTCTTTCTGCTTCAACAGCTCCACAGTGCCAGCGCCTCTCTCTTTCCATTGATTTGTTTCTTTATCAAATCGATACAGCTTCAACTTCAGATCGAGGATGCTATCTTCATTTTCCTCGTCGGTGCTGACACCTACTTCTTCGAGTTTGGCATAGAAGCAACTTGGGCTCGGGTGTCTTCATCCTCAGTGGCGGGAGCAACTCAAACTGCTGGGAAACAAAAGCATCGTGTTTTCACCCTTGGTCTTCGCTGATGCAATCCACATGAGATTCCCAACCGTGTAAGCAAAGTGAATATGACTAGTTTGGGCCATAACTGCCTTCTCAAGAGGCGGAAGTGCAGCTTTAATCCGTTGCACAAGAATTGTCAACTTATGACTCCTAGAAGCTGTGTTCATTACATGCTCTTGCAAATTCAGCAAGATCCCCTAACTGGCGTAAGAGCCCAACGAGGCCAGCGACGCCGTCGAGAACAACTTTTGGATCTTCTTCATTAGCTTCTTTGTAAAGCTCCAGAGGCATTTTCGTTTTTTTTTTTGCTTACTGAAAGAGAGAGAGCCCCCTAGGTTAAAGTGATCTTGCAAATCCAAAATCTGCAATCTTTAAAATTGAACTGCTATCATTTGTTTAGAGGAGAAGGTTCTGAGGCTTTAGATCTCGATGTATAAGATTATTGTCGCGGAGAGCTTGCAAGCCAGCTGCCAGTTGCTGCATGAAATGTTTTGCCGTTCTCTGGAACACTTCCATGGCGTGAAATATACATAGAAAGGTCCCCCTCTCTTTTTCCCCAAATGCTTTTCCCCCCTCCTTTAGGAACAAAAATGAGTGATAGATAAGGTAATAGTCGTGGGGTACTGGAGTAGGTGGAGATAGTGGGATTGAACGTGGTTTAGTGGGTTGTTTGATGGAAATGGAATACCTGCAAAAAAAAATGTATATATATAAATTAATAAAATAATAATAATAAATAAATAATAATTTTTTTTGTTGTCTCGGACAAAAATGGATGTCTACAGCTGCCCCTCTTTGCACATTTTTGTGTTAACAAGAATAGAGCAAAGACGAAAAAAAAAAAAGACAATCAGTTTTTGTCCGGTGTTCTCAAATGTGATTGGGCTTCCTGGAATTGGGCCTTTGTCTTCTTCTCGGTTTAAAGATTTTGGCTTGAAAACTCTTCCAGAAAGCAATTTATCGCTGTCATCGAGCTGAATGAAATCGAACTCGTTAGGTCTTTGGTTGGCAGATAGCCCTTCTCGACTTAAGTTATGCTTTAAATGATGTGCCCTCGAAGCTGAGTGTAATCGAACTCGAGGGTCTTTGGCAGATAGCCCTTCTCGACTTAAGCTATACTGCAAATGATGTGCCTTAGAGCTGAGCGTAGTCGAAGTCAAAGGTCTTTTGGTGACATATAACCCTTCTAGCCTTGAGCTATGCTGTAAATGATGTGCCTTGGAGCTGAGCGTAGTCGAACTCGAAGGTCTTTGTTGACAAATAATCCTTCTTTGAGTTGGATATTCTTCGTCGCGAGGTTGAAATCCAATCTAAAGATGGATGATGCTTGTGTGCACGATTCCCTCCGTCGTGAGATTGAAACCGCGGGTGGCCCTTTCATCGTGAAGTTGAGCCTGGAATTGGATATCCTTCCAAGTAAGTAGCATTATTCCGAGTCCAATATCCTCCGCCGTGAAGTTGAAATTGGCTCTGGAACTGGGAAATTATTTGTCGACAACCAGCGGTCCCTTCGTCGTGAAGTTGAACATGCGTTGTCTGGAGTCCAATATCCTTCGCTGTGAAGTTGAAATTGGCTCTGAAATTGAGAAGTTGGTTATTGACAACCAGCGGTCCCTTCGTCGTGAAGTTGAACTTGCGTTGTCTGGAGTCCAATATCCTTCGTTGTGAAGTTGAAATTGGCTCTGAAATTGGGAAGTTGTTTGTTGACAACCAGCGGTCCCTTCGTCATGAAGTTGAACTTGCGTTGTCTTGAGTCCAATATCATTCGCTGGGAATTTGAAATTGGCTCTGAAATTGGGAAGTTGTTTATTGACAACCAGCGGTCCCTTCGTCGTGAAGTTGAACCTGCGTTGTCAGGAGTCCAATATCCTTCGCTGTGAAGTCGAAATTGGCTCTGAAATTGGGAAATATTGATTGACAACCAGCGGTCCCTTCGTCGTGAAGTTGAACTTGCGTTGTCTGGAATCCAATATCCTTCGTTGTGAAGTTGAAATTGGCTCTGAAATTGAGAAATGTTTATTGACAACCAGCGGTCCCTTCGTCGTGAAGTTGAACTTACGTTGTCTGGAGTCCAATATCCTTCGTTGTGAAGTTGAAATTGGCTCTGAAATTGAGAAATGTTTATTGACAACCAGCGGTCCCTTCGTCGTGAAGTTGAACTTGCGTTGTCTGGAGTCCAATATCCTTCGTTGTGAAGTTGAAATTGGCTCTGAAATTGAGAAATATTTATTGACAACCAGCGGTCCCTTCGTCGTGAAGTTGAACTTGCGTTGTCTGGAGTCCAATATCCTTCGTTGTGAAGTTGAAATTGGCTCTGAAATTGAGAAATATTTATTGACAACCAGCGGTCCATTCGTCGTGAAGTTGAACTTGCGTTGTCTAGAGTCTAGATCCTTCGTTGAGAAGTTGAAATTGGCTCTGAAATTGAGAAGTTGGTTATTGACAACCAGCGGTCCCTTCGTCGTGAAGTTGAACTTACGTTGTCTGGAGTCCAATATCCTTCGTTGTGAAGTTGAAATTGGCTCTGAAATTGAGAAGTTGGTTATTGACAACCAGCGGTCCCTTCGTCGTGAAGTTGAACTTACGTTGTCTGGAGTCCAATATCCTTCGTTGTGAAGTTGAAATTGGCTCTGAAATTGAGAAGTTGGTTATTGACAACCAGCGGTCCCTTCGTCGTGAAGTTGAACTTGCGTTGTCTTGAGTCCAATATCATTCGCTGGGAATTTGAAATTGGCTCTGAAATTGGGAAGTTGTTTTTGACAAGCAGCGGTCCCTTCGTCGTGAAGTTGAACTTGCGTTGTCTGAAGTCCAATATCCTTCGTGCTCATGGTTGAGTTTGTGTCGAACTGGATTTGTTTTGAACTGGTTCTCGAACCTATCTGAAATTGGTTCTAAGATGTCAAGTCGGTTGAGGTGTAGCTTCTTACTGCCGAGTTAATTAACCACCATCCTTCTTTGAAGGTGCTTGAGAATCGAGTATCCTTCATCCTGAAGTCAAAACTTGACTCTAAAAGCTGCAAAAACGTGTATGCTAAAATGATGAACGTGATGCACCTAAGTATGTTTAAGATGCATGCGATATGAATGAATTATGTGTTATCTTCTGGATGGAGTCTCGTGCTTTGTCTGTCAATCAGGTCCTTGGAATGGATCGTGCCCCATTTGCTTCCCGAGCTTTGGCTTTACAGACCTTTCATATCTGAGACTGTTCTGCTTGAAAATGTTTTTTCTCCTTTTTCTTGTTTTAGGAGAGAGACATGATAAAAATGTTGTAAAATATTGTTCGCAATTGAATCAAATTGTAAATGTGAGTTCAAAGAATATCAAAGGAATCAATAGCTCTTTTAACGTTTTCAGAGTTACAGCTCTTTGACAAATGTTCAAATGGATGGGTTGGCTTTCGCTTGACCTCCTTTCTAAGGTTTTGGAAAAAAAATGTCATCATTTTTTTAAAATATCTTGACATGCTTTGGCACTTCAATTGGGTGCAGACAAGATGACGAAACTAGCATGATCACTTACTAGACCTTTTATTTCAGTCCTCTGAAATCTTCTATTTGTTCAAGCATTGTAGGCTCCTCTAACAAAGGCAGTGCAAAAACATCGGTCTAAAAATGAAATTCTTGAGTGCTCGTGTGTAGTTGACTATAACAGGTGTTCCTTAACTCCCTTAGTCCATTTTACCGAAAATTTCTTGCTTAGATAGATTTGATTTAACTTGTCATTATCTGGCTAGCTGAATCCATAAAGCCGGGGCATTAAACCAATTGCTTTAGAGGGACAGCTTAATATTATAATCACTCTTATCAAGTTAACTGAAGGGTTCATCTCATCACAGAGTCTTCGGCCTGACAAGAGCAGTGGAGCAAACACCGAATTGCCAAGTGTCCGAGCAATGTCATGGTTTGAACGTAATCTACTCATAAGGCCAGGGCTTTCAAGTTTCCTCTATAACCAATTGCCTTAGCGGAATAGCTCAGTTTTTACGGATTCAATTTCTTAAGATTGTCAAGAAGAACCTGTTATAGTCTAGGTGTTTGTTGAAAGTAAAAAAATTCATCTTTAGAGTTCAATTTTCAAGCAATTGACCTAAACTAGATTCACTTACTCGACTATTCCATCTGTGAAGATCATTATCATCACTGAACGTCTTAAATAAAAAGCATAGTAATGTCATATGCATATGATGCCCCACGTTGTCCGCACCTTATGAAAGGAAAAGGTTACATTGGTTAATTGCAAGAGCATGGTACGGTGTTTGAGTGTATATTCTGGGTAAAGTTAAAGTCCTTGTTTCAGATTATGTTACTTGTCAAAGATCTGTAACTTTGAACCATTTACAGAGTTTCTTAATTCAGATGATATTTAAAGAATTGCAAGTTTGCAAATGTGATTTATTGCTCGCCATCATTAAAGCAACATAAATTTATTTAAAAGTCCTTGCAAAAACTTGAGAAAAGAATGAAAAAACAAATCCAAACAGAATGGCTCAAATGATAAGATGATATGCCTCACTTGGATGCCCCCAAGTTGTGGAAGTCGATCCGATTCTTGTTACGTATTTTCTGTATGATTCTCTTGATAGTGGAGTAATTCTCGATAGTGCACCCTGGGACTCCGCTATGATTTTCGCAATGAGCGTTCTCATCATACTACCTGGGGTACGGGGCTTCATGGACACCACGTGTGCATCAAACAACTGTTGGTAAAGCTCCTTATATGTCATAGGATCGGAATGTTCTCATTTTTGATGAGACATGTGAATGTAATGAAAAAAGGGAATCATAATGCGAATGTAAAGAAAAAAATAACAAAATGCACAATATGCCTGAATGTATGATGCATGAAATGTTCGAGGCGTTGATCCGAAAAATGTGCCCATTATTCTGAATAATCCTTATTGGGGACAAAAATGTTACTTCTGAAGAGACAAAAAACTTTTTTGATGGTATAGATCCTGCACAGCCTCTGGAAAGTTGATTCGTCTTCCGCTTTTTCACCGGTTGAATATCTTGTCGAACCATTCCAGTTCCTTTAGCTAAACTCGTGCGGGTAACGAGTTGCTTGCCCCAAAAAAGGTCTCGAATGACTGCATCTCCGGCCTTCGCTCTATGCCGTCCAAACGAAAGTGCCATTGGAGCCCTCCATCCGAAGTTTGTCGACTTATTTTTGGAATTCATCAATAATGGTCTCCGGCTTAGCTAGGGTTTCACCATCTTGTTCTCGTAATTTTCGAAAGGACTCTCTGGGTCAGTAACCATTTCCTCGTCTTGCCCCTGCAACTTTTGCCTCTGAGTATTCTTTGATCACGGTTGGACTTCTGAGCTTTTTGTCTCTTTGTATTATAACTCCTTTGTCCATTAATGCAGATTATTTATGTTTAAAAAACACATTTTTGGTGGATCAACACCTCGTTTAAATGATGCGAATGATGAAAACAAAACAAAAGAGAACAATTAATGAAAAAGGTTAGTGATGTGAAAATAATAAAAAGCGATCATGAAAATAAAAGTCCTACCCCACATGATATCTACCCGAACATGCTTAGTATTCCTACCCAGACATGATCTCTATCCCGCATGCTAATTTCAAACAAATCCTAACCGCATATTTGTCTAGTTCGCATGCTTCGAACAGAGAGTAAAGTAGGAAATAAAGTAGCCTAGGGTTTAGAATGAGGTTTTGGGGTGGGCTCTAACTCCTTCAAAGTCTCCCAGTTTAGGTTCTAAAACACGGTACCCGAGTTCTCCTTGCTGGTGCCCCCTTGGGCTTACCAGACCCTTAGTCCTAAGCCCATCACAGGCTTGTGTGGACTAAGTTAAACTCGAGAGGACACATTCCCTTATGCCCATACGGAGAATAAATTCACACGAAGGCATAAGGTATATGAATCCCGAAGGCTACTTGCTAGGCCCGCACGGTGAATAAATTCACACGAAGGCGTCGCTTTCACCCCCACTTAAAAGGGTTCGGAGCTCGGGTATAGAGCCAGAGATGGAAACTTTTCAAAAATCTGAAATCATTGAAAAAAATGTTAGTACAACTATTTATTTCAAAAATAATCAAAGGTAAATAACTGGAATCGAATAAATAAATTAAAATTTACAATTTACAATTTTCGCATAAAAAGACAACCGAAAATTAATTCTGGCCTGACTCACTTACCTGTCCCCAGCGGAGTCGCCAAGCTGTCGCAACCATCTTTCGGTTGAGCCCCGGAATTGGGCTTCGACTTGAAAAATGTGGATTGGAGTCGCCACCGACCACTTTAAAACGAATTTAGGTGGGTCGGACACCATCTTACCTGATCTGCGTTGTACCAGAGACGTGTCGGGTTCGGGAGTCGGTTACGGTTAAGGAAGGATTAGCACCCTTGAACCGCCCTTTCGGTACCAATTAATTTATCGGTTGTCTTGATTGCGAAAAAATTAAAAATTTAAATTTAAATTTAAAAACTCGATTCGAATTACTTACTTGATTGGAATTACTCTAAAAAAGTTGAAAATGTTAAATAATAAAAAAATCAAAGAAAAAAAATAAATACAATGAAATAAAATAAGATAAAAAAATATTAAATGAAAAGGAAAACAATAACAATAAAAAATTCGGACGAATGGTGTTGAAGTTGATGATGCAATATTGCACATTTAACATCTTTAGAAAACTTTTAACATGTCAAACAAGAATTCAGCATGGTAGCCAAGTATAAAATATACGTACTCTCCAGGGATAAAAAACGAGTGTTGAAAACTTCATCTTTCAATTCACCGTTTGCAATGTCAGGATCCCGCCATAAACACGACTGAAGCATGCTGCTCCACCTCATCATTGACAACACCAGATGATTAGCGTAGATCTTGAGAGTTTTAGATTGCCTCATGACAAGACAAATTTTTCCAGTCTCTTTCTGCTTCAACAGCTCCACAGTGCCAGCGCCTCTCTCTTTCCATTGATTTGTTTCTTTATCAAATCGATACAGCTTCAACTTCAGATCGAGGATGCTATCTTCATTTTCCTCGTCGGTGCTGACACCTACTTCTTCGAGTTTGGCATAGAAGCAACTTGGGCGCGGGTGTCTTCATCCTCAGTGGCGGGAGCAACTCAAACTGCTGGGAAACAAAAGCATCGTGTTTTCACCCTTGGTCTTCGCTGATGCAATCCACATGAGATTCCCAACCGTGTAAGCAAAGTGAATATGACTAGTTTGGGCCATAACTGCCTTCTCAAGAGGCGGAAGTGCAGCTTTAATCCGTTGCACAAGAATTGTCAACTTATGACTCCTAGAAGCTGTGTTCATTACATGCTCTTGCAAATTCAGCAAGATCCCCTAACTGGCGTAAGAGCCCAACGAGGCCAGCGACGCCGTCGAGAACAACTTTTGGATCTTCTTCATTAGCTTCTTTGTAAAGCTCCAGAGGCATTTTCGTTTTTTTTTTTGCTTACTGAAAGAGAGAGAGCCCCCTAGGTTAAAGTGATCTTGCAAATCCAAAATCTGCAATCTTTAAAATTGAACTGCTATCATTTGTTGAGAGGAGAAGGTTCTGAGGCTTTAGATCTCGATGTATAAGATTATTGTCGCGGAGAGCTTGCAAGCCAGCTGCCAGTTGCTGCATGAAATGTTTTGCCGTTCTCTGGAACACTTCCATGGCGTGAAATATACATAGAAAGGTCCCCCTCTCTTTTTCCCCAAATGCTTTTCCCCCCTCCTTTAGGAACAAAAATGAGTGATAGATAAGGTAATAGTCGTGGGGTACTGGAGTAGGTGGAGATAGTGGGATTGAACGTGGTTTAGTGGGTTGTTTGATGGAAATGGAATACCTGCAAAAAAATGTATATATATAAATTAATAAAATAATAATAATAAATAAATAATAATTTTTTTTGTTGTCTCGGACAAAAATGGATGTCTACACACCTACTTCTCTAATTTTTTTCACCGTCTTTGTGATGCCCTTCATCATCATGGCAAGCAAATCAAAATCAAACCTTTGTAATTCAATTTCGTTTTTATAGAATATCATCATTTAGTGCAAACTTAAAATTTTGTAATTTATCAAAATAGGAGAAGCGAGTTGTAATTTCAGTTTGTAATTTTTTTCAGTTTTATAGAATATCATCATTTAGAATAGATTCATTTAGTGCAAAAATATGGTTGAAATTACAAACCTTTGTGATTTTTTCCCCAAAAGTTTGTAATTTCAGTTCGTAATTTATGCATGTTAGAAGACAAACTCAATTATTGTAGGAGTTCAACGTGGCAATATGGAAATCACATGTGCATGTTGGCAAGAAATCAAATCTTTGCAATTAAAATATCTAGAAAAGTCTTGAAATCCTTGGCTAAGGAATTCAATCATGCGGCTAGAAGAATATAGAAGCAATTTAAGTCGGTTTATTATATATATATATATATATATATATATATATGTGTGTGTGTGAGCAAAGCAAGCATGTAGGTAAGTGAGGAAAAGTGAGTAACGAGTGAGAGAAAGAAAAATAGAGAGATTTGAGAGATTTGAAAAGCTTAGAAAAGTTATATTGGTGGAGTTTGTAAACTAGCCGCAGCTAGTGTCATAATATTGTAATATTGAGGTAGTGTCATTGTAACGTATTTTGTTTCGTATCAATAAAAAGTTCGAGTTATAAATTAAAGTGAGTCCATCTATGCTTCCAACAAGTGGCCTCAGATCTTGGTTTGAGTTTAATGTGGTGGAGAAGATGGCCAACATGATTCAACCTCAAATTCCGAGATTGACAAAGACAAATTATGGCAACTGGAGCATTCAAATGAAGGCGTTACTAGGCTCCCAAGATTGTTGGGATATCATCGAGGATGATTACATTGAGCCTGAAAATGCAGCAGTAGAAGCAGCCCTGGAAAAAGAAGAAAAGAAGGTTTTGAAGGAATCCCGGAGAAAAGATAAAAGAGCATTGTTCTTTATTTTTCAAGGAGTAGACGAATCTACCTTTGAAAAAATTTCTGATGCGAAGACCGCAAAACAAGCGTGGGAGATTTTGCAAAAATCTCTACAAGATGTCGAAAAAGCGAAGAATGTACGCTTACAAACTCTCAGAGCTGAGTTTGAGATGTTAAAAATGAAAAATACAGAAAACATCGATGATTATATTAGCCGTGTGAAAGCGGCCGTAAATGAAATGAAAAGAAATGGCGAATCACTCAATGATGTTAGAGTGATGGAAAAATTTTGCGGTGATTGACAAGAAAATTCGATTATGTGGTGGTGGCAATCGAAGAATCAAAAGATTTATCCCAAATATCGATCGATGAGCTTGTGGGTTCACTTCAAGCCCATGAGCAGAAAATAAAACAAAATGAAGATTCTGAAAATCTGGAGCAAGCTCTACAAAGCAAGATGAATGTAAACGAAGGAGAAGCTAGCAGCAGCTACACACGAGGTCGAGGAAATCGTGGTAGTTATCATGGAAGATACAGAGGAGAACGAGGAACTCGTGGACGTGGTGGTCGATCATATGGCACCGATCAAATAAGTGGAAACAATCCAACATCAGGCTGTGGACGAGGATTCAGAGGCCGAGGTAGAGGCATATATCAACAAGGAAATAAATTCCAGGTACAATGTTATAATTGCAATAAGTATGGTCATTATAGTTATGACTGTAGATCTGTACCTAAACAAGAAGAAAGAAATAACGTAGCAGCAGCTGAAGAAGAAAAAATTGAAAAATCTCATGTATTCCTCACTTATAAAGGAAATGAAGAATTCAAGAAAAATATTTGGTATCTTGATAATTGTGCCAGCAACCATATGTGTGGTCAAAGGGAACTGTTTGTGAAATTAGATGAAACAGTCCATGGATGAGTAACGTTCGAAGATGACTCACACGCAGAACTAAAAGGAAAAAGCGAAGTAATGATTACTCAGAGAAATGGAGAAAAGAAATACATTTCAGATGTTTATTATGTACCTTCTTTGAAAAGCAATATCATCAGTCTTGGTCAACTCCTAGAAAAAGGATATGAAGTGCATATGAAGAATCGCTCGCTTGCCATCAAAAATAAAGAATGTGAATTGATAGCCCAAGTTGATATGACTCGAAATCATCTCTTTACAATTGATATCGAGTCGGGAGAAGTCAAGTGCATGAAGACCACGATCAAAGATGATTCATGGCTGTGGCATCTAAGATATGAACATCTTGGATTTTCTGGTTTGAAGCTGTTATAAAAAACAAACATGGTGAAAGGACTACCAGAGATCAACCCTCCAAATCAATTATGTGAGGCTTGCATCAAAGGAAAACAACATATACAAAGCTTTGAAGTTGGTAGATCCTGGCGTGCCCGAAGACTGCTAGAGATAGTACACACATATATAGTCAGTCCTTTTGACATACCATCACTTGGCATTAACAGGTACTACCTAACTTTTATTGATGATTTTATTAGAAAATGTTGGATTTATATCTTGAAAGAAAAATCAGAAGAGCTGGAAAAATTAAAAGAATTTAAAGCAATGGCGGAAAAACAAAGCGGTCAATATTTGAATATACTCAGATCAGATAGAGGAGGCGAATATATATCAAAGTTATTTGAAGAATTCTGCAAAGAGCATGGCATCATCCATCAGCTGACAGCCAGATACACACCACAACAAAATGGAGTTGTAGAAAGAAAGAACCGCACAATTCTGGACATGGCAAAAAATATGATAAAAGGTAAGCAACTACCAAGAAATTTCTGGGCTGAAGCAGTTCGATGTGCAGTTTACCTATTGAACAGATGTCCAACAGAAAGTGTGAAGTATATGACACCAAACGAAGCATGGAGTGGTCAGAAACCAGGAGTTGGACACCTTAAGATTTTTGTATGCATCGCATATGGCCACGTTCCTGAATAGACAAGAAAGAAGCTTGATGACAGAGGAGAAAAATGTATTTTCATTGGCTATGATGAAAGAAGCAAAGCTTACAGATTATATAATCCTCTTACCAAGAAGGTAATAATTTCAAGAGATGTCGAGTTTGATGAAGCAGACTATTGGAAATGGAGCAAAGAAGAAAAGAAAGTTGAAGTACTATTTTTTAATGAAGATAAAGATGATTATCTTATCAATCAAGATGAACAAACTGATGATCAATGTCCTCAATAAAATATACCATCGTCGTCAAGCAGCAACAACGATGCCAGAAACATAATAGAAGATTCTGAAACACCTCCCACAGAAGTTCAAAGATCCACAAGAGAGAGAAGAATGCCAGAAAGGTACAACGATTATGAACTAAATAATGTTTCACTTTTATGTTTACTTGTGAATAGTGATCCAATAACATACGAAGAAGCGGTTGAAGATGACAAGTGGAGGAATGCAATGGATGAAGAAATTGCATCAATAGAAAGAAATGATACATGGGAGCTAACAAGACAACCAGAAGGTCATAACCCAATTGGAGTAAAATGGGTTTACAAGACAAAGACCAATAAAGAAGGAAAGGTCGAGAAACACAAAGCGAGGCTAGTTGTCAAAGGCTATAAGCAAAGAAAAGGAATAGACTATGATGAAGTATTTGCTCCAGTAGCAAGGATTGAGACCATCAGACTTCTCACAGCAGTTGCAGCACAAAAATGATGGGAAATTTATCAAATGGATGTGAAGTCAGCATTTCTAAATGGCTACCTAGAAGAAGAAGTTTATATTGAGCAACCACCTGGATACATTAAAAAGGGACATGAAGACAAAGTTTATCGATTGAAGAAAGCTCTATATGGTCTGAAGCAAGCCCCAAGAGCATGGAACACGAGAATTGATGAATATTTCCAGAGAAATGGGTTCATGAAGAGTCCGTATGAGCATGCCTTATACACAAAGAAAAATGAAGACGATGATATCATGATCGTGTGCTTATATGTGGACGACATGATTTTCACAGGAAATAATCCAGGTATGTTCAATGATTTTAAGAAAGTTATGACTAAAGAATTTGAAATGACAGATATTGGAGAAATGTCATACTTCCTTGGAGTTGAAGTGAAGCAAATGCAAGAAGGAATATTTATATCACAAAAGAAGTATGCAGAAGAAATTTTAAGAAAATTCAGAATGAAAGATTGCAAGCCGGTAGCCACTTCAGCAGAACCAGACATCAAATTAAGTGTGAATTCAACAAGAGAGCAAGTGAATCCGACGTTGTTTAAAAGCATCGTTGAAAGTCTAAGGTATCTGACTATCACATGACCAGACATAACATACGCTGTGGGATTGGTAAGTAGATTCATGGAGAATCCGAAACAAGATCATTGGATTGCAACAAAAAGAATCCTCAGATATGTCAAAGGTACAACAGGTCATGGCTTATTCTACAAGCATTCAGAAAATTCGAAGCTGGTTGGTTATTCTGATAGTGATTATGGGGGAGACTTAGACGATCGGAAAAACACAACTAGATATCTATCTCATATCGGCTTTGCAACATTTTCATGGTCATGAAAGAAGCAACAAATGGTAGCTCTTTCAACATGTGAAGAAGAATACATAGCCGCAGCAGCGTGCACTTGCCAAGCAATGTGGTTAAAGAATATTTTGAACGAGCTAAATTTAGCACAAGAATCAATTACAATCTATGTCGACAACAAGTCTACAATTTCTCTTGCCAAGAATCCAGTCTCCCATAGCCGAAGCAAGCATATTGATACAAAGTATCATTTTATACGAGAGCAGGTGAAGAACAAAAATGTGGAGCTAATTTACTGCAGAACTAAAGATCAACTAGCAGATATTTTCACAAAACCATTGAGAGCATATATATTCAACCGACTCAAAGAAAAGCTCGGAATGGAAAATCGAGTTTGAGGGGGAGTGTTAGAAGACAAACTCAATTATTGTAGGAGTTCAACGTGGCAATATGGAAATCACATGTGCATGTTGGCAAGAAATCAAATCTTTGCAATTAAAATATCTAGAAAAATCTTGAAATCCTTGGCTAAGGAATTCAATCATGCGGCTAGAAGAATATAGAAGTAATTTAAGTCGGTTTATTACATATATGTATATATGAGCAAAACAAGCATGTAGGTAAGTGAGGAAAAGTGAGTAACGAGTGAGAGAAAGAAAAATAGAGAGAATTGAGAGATTTGAAAAAGCTTAGAAAAGCTATATTGGTGGAGTTTGTAAACTAGCCACAACTAGTGTCGTAGTTTTGTAATATTGAGGTAGTGTCATTGTAACGTATTTTGTTTCGTATCAATAAAAAGTTCGAGTTATAAATTATCATGAGCCCATCTACGCTTCCAACAATGCCAACAAAAAAAATAGTTCACACCGATACATGTGGCTATCATATCATCATTCTATTTCTAATTTAATACTGGAGTGATCAAAATAAGAATAAATCAAAAGTTTAGTGATGAAATTAGAAATTTTAAAATTTTAATGAAACAAAACAGGAATGAAGTCTAACTCGAGTGATTAAATATATAGTTTACCCATATTTTTAGTATTGTTTTCTATAGTTTTCAAGTTTTTAGCTATGGTACGGCAAATCTAAAGAAATTACCGAGGTAAGGCAGTAGCCAGTCTATTAGAAACCATTATCAAAGGGGTTTCGTGCATGATGCATCACTGATGTGGAGGTAGTTCAAAATTTGAATTGCAAATGTGCTTCGAGAGTCTTGCTGACATGAATCGACCATAAGTTCTGCATTGATAATATAACTGTAGACTGTAGTAGTAGTAGTATTCTTGCCTTCAATCAGGCAGACAAGTGTCAGCCCTGGGTTATTTTATTGGTTACAAGCCCAGATTATGCATCTTTGTTGTTTTTCTCAGGAAAGAAAACACACTCTCTAGAATATCAATGGAATTGAATCTAGCTGGCACAGTGTTTGTTCTATAAGATTTTTGAAGGTGGAAAAATGAAAGAAATTGCTTCAAATTATAAGAGAAACAAGAAAACAATTTTTTCTTAGTTTGGAGGGTTTGAGGAGAACCACCTTCTGATACTCTTGACTCCTCTAAGCTTCATCACAAGTTCTTCACGCTGAGCTTCAACTTCTGCATATTTAAGGCTCATTTGGAGATAACGCTCTCGTATGTCACTTAGCTCTGCCTCTAGAGATGTTTTTGTGCGTTCATATTTCTCTTTTGCCACAACTTCAGTTTCAACAGTTGATTTTCTTGATGTATTTGATTGACTTCTCCGACCCTCTGATAACCTGGTAGATGATTCATAGCAGGATTAGTTCATGGAGTTGAACTTCATCATGGAAGATAAATTATGGAATTTAATGCATTAACGTGTTCCTATATTATCACCTAGTTACACGAGCTTTATACTTGTTATTGGATTCCGTGGCTTTGGTAAGCTCACTTTCATTGCTTCCATCATTGGAATCGTAATGACTATCCTGGATTGTAAGATGAAATGGAGAAGGAATCACCAAAATGTTAATTCTAAATCTGAACTTTACGATTTCCAGATTTCGTACCGAAAGGCGAAAGTAGATTTGTTACCTCTCTTCTGTTTCTGTGATAACCGGAATGTCGCTGCGTCTGTTTTTCTTCCACTTTCAGTTTCAATTTATCCTCAAGTGTTTCAGGTTTTATCAGAAGCTCATCTTTCTCCTCTTGAAGCTGTTTTATTTGCTGCTGGAGCTGTCTGTTTGTCTGCTTGATCTCATTAAGCTCATTTTTAATCTCTACATTCTTTAATAATGGCTCTTTTGTTGCGAGATCGCCTTCCATCTGCACAAGTTTTTCTTCCAAGGCTACTTTTTCATGTTTGTAAACATCCAACTCTGAAACAACCTTTTGCAAGGTAGAAATCTGCTGCATGAAGTAATTTCTCTCTGCCTTCAGATCATCACATTCTCTGGATAATAGATGCAATGAAGTTTCGAGTTCGCCTTTCACGGCTTCAATCGAGACAAGTTCATCTCTTAGAGCCAAAATGTCATCCTCAAGATTTTCTATCTTCAGCTGCTGAACCTTCATATTGCTAGATTGTTCTGATACTTTCTGCTGTTCATATTCAGAAACAATCAGCTTTAATTCGAGGTCATTCACAATGGTTTTGAGTTTCCCTTCACTGGACTTGTAACACTCCAACAACTTCAAAGCTTTTTCATGTTCCACCATCAATGCTTCCCGGTTTTCTCTCGAGGCTGCAAGTTCGCTCAACAGGTCGTCCACTTCTGATTTAGCTTCAGTTTCCGTTTTCTTGAATTCATTCTCAGTAAGCCTCAGTTTAGATTTGGCTTCTTCAAGAGCTGATTCTAGTTTAACTTTATCTTCTTGTAAACCTGAAATTTCACATAGAGCATCATAAGCTGTTTTCTCCTTTTCATGATGTGCTGCAGAGAGTTGCTTAGCAAAACTTTCCACCTCTTGTCGAAGATTTTCGACTTCATCGGTTCGACTACAGGAGCTTTCTTCAAGCTTCAGTTTTGCCTCGAGTTTCATGGTTTTATCATAAATTTCATCCAACCCCAATGTTAGCCTCTCCTCTTCTGATGCGAAATCTTTCATCACTAAAGTTAGATTTCCATCAAACACTTCAATCTTTTTGCTGCACTCCCTTAATTTGCCCTCCAAGTGAGCACAATGCTCTTCCAATTCTGACTTGTCCTTCCTCAAGTCCTCAGCCGACTGCTTAATCGAATTGCATTCTTCGATTAGTGTCTCATTAGTTGCTTGTAACTCTGTAATTTCTCTTCTCAGATATTTACACTTATCCTCAAGTTTACTTTGGTTCAACCTAAGTTCCATAATCTCCTCTTCCTTTGACTGTATTGTAGTTTCCAGTGTTTGAATGTCAGTTCTTTTTTGAGCTAACTCGTTTACTAAATCAGTTACTTCAGCTTCAAGTTCAATTCTTTGAGTTTCAAGTTCCTGAATGTAACTGTTGTAATCACTTTGAATCTCCCTGAGAATTTTCTTCCTTAGTTTCTCTTCCAGGAGAAGCATTTCAGACTTTTGTTCACTTCCTGCAACTCCTCCATTTGTTTCCTTTATCTTGAGTAGTAATTCAAGATTCTCATCGGTCAGCTCGTTGCAATCAGTTTCTAACTCCTCTAGTTTTGCTCTCAAGGCTTCGATTTCTCTGATCAGATGCACATCGCCACCCTTCCGAAGCTCCGGATTTGAAAAATGTCTTTCCTTTCGAGACTCGGATAGCTTTACTTTCAAACCAACGAGTTCTCTTTCTTTAGCTGCTAACATATTCTTATATTCTTCTTCAAGGGCATCACTATTTTCTTTGTCTTTCAAGGCCTGTTCGACACGATGCGCCTCGGCCTGCAAATTCATCTCTGATTCTCTTGATTGTTGAAGCTGGATCATTAAGTTCCTGTTTTCCTCTGAATTTTGCTGCATAGTGTTCTCCAATTCACTCACATGTGAACGCAGGGACGAAATGTTCTCCATTTCAACTTTCTGCTTTTCTATGGTCTCTTCCAGCTCCTGAAGAACTGAAACAAGCTCAACATTTGCTTCTTGGCTCCTCTTCAACTGCAAAGTCAGGCTGTCATTAGTCTCTTTTTGGAACTTAATTTCATTTTCCAATTCCTTCTGTAAAAGGGTTATTCCATCATCCTGAAACGTTGAATCTCCCGAGGTTGTTTGTTTCACCATTGATTTCTCCAACAAAGTTTTCAGATGCTCGACTTCTTTCCTTAGTCCGTCGCGTTCCGCGTTCGCCGCCGATAGTTCCGTCGTCAAATTTGCCTGAGTTTTAGACTGGTCGGAGTATTGTTTCCACAATATGTCCAAATCAAGCATCAACTTGTCGGCATTCTTCTTCCACATCTTTGCTTCCGCATGAAGCTCTTCAATCGTTTTCTCTGCTGCTTCAAGAAGGTTTTTTGCAGAATCGTTGGCTCTCCAAGTATCCGAAGAACTGCTTTGTGAAACAAAAGATGAATGATCTGAATGAGAAAGATCATCAACGTGAGAATTCCCATTGTTTAGACCATTTTGAGAAGTGGGTGCAACTTGTTTTTCCATCAGGCTCATAGAGTCGCCATTCAAATTGCTTACAGAAGATGAACTTTCCCTCCCTATAGAACTCTCTGCCGAGTCATAGCTGAGAAACGAATCTGAAGCTGAGAAACTTGCTTCCTGTGGTTCAAATACTATTAGTTTAGTATTGCAGCGGTCGTAAATAGTCATTTAAGATCGATAAAAATGAGACTCTAACGTACCCTACTGACAAGTTCTTCTTGGAGTGGGGCTGAGACAAAATCTGGAGTAAGAGATGAATCTGCAGCTTTTGCTGTTGAACTCTCTGTACCATCTGAACTAAGGCTCAGATCAGGAGGGTGTTTGGTGTTATTACCTTCCTCTTTGGAATTTGTCTGCTCTGTTTCATTGTCCCTAAAATAATCCATTTCAAGTCGTCAAGCGGTTTGAGGTGATAAATCTGTTCAAAATTTTTCTTATTGCATTGACAAAGTATACACATCCTATCCTGCAGAAAGACCTACTCGTATTGGAATTTCTTAAATCGAATGATATTCTCTTTTACTAATGAGACCCTTCAATTGGTTCGATCCAATACAACATTTAAAGTAAAATGAGAAGGGCAGCAGTGAATGATACATACATGGGCTTTGGTCTTGGTGTCAAACATTGAATTTTCAACTGCATATCAGAATCATGAATGTTCATTAGCAAAACACAATGAATGGTACAGGGACTACCGAACCAATCCTTCACGTTTCTAATTAAATGGTATGTATTTAATGTAATAAAGAATGATAACAGAGAAGAAATAAGATCGATCACCTGCAGAACTGTCCCATGGTTGCATTTTTTCAACGGCAATGAAACCGGAACAACGACTGTTGAATTTATGTAGCCTGTCATATTCACTGTCGCCTCTCCAAGGATGCTAGATCTCGCTGATCCCTACAGTTCGACATTCGTTTCTGTTCATATCTGTAAACTATAAACTATGATCCAACAATATTTCATAAAAGCAAATTCACCATTGCAACAACAAGCTTGAAGAGACAATCTCCCATCTTCTCTGTTTTTGATACCCAAGTAGATTCCGACAAAGTCTCTGTCCAATGACAACTCCCATTTCGAACCAGTGCTTTGCTCGTCTTTGCCATGGTTTTCCCATTCTCCATTGACATGATCGACGTAAACAACCTGTCCCATCCTTTTGGTACCTAATAAAAGAACACACAATGTTTTAAAAATGAAACATAGAAGAAGAACAAGACATGAATGTTTACCTGCACCAGTTTGAAGTTGGAGAACTTAAAATCTATCTTTTCCCCTGATTTATTACTTCCAGGTGCCGGCCTTGTTTTATGCAACCTAAACATTTCTTATTTGTTCTAAATCTTTGTTTTTTTTTTCTGGGTTAATCTGGAAGATATTCAGATAAAACGTAGCAAAAACATTACAAACCAAAGGAAAATGGTTAGCTTTCCGGTCATTGTTGTGAACCTTACTTGCTAACTTTATTGTCACTCCCATGCAGAGGAACACTCTGGTGCACTGAATTTCATTCTGTCACCCTTTCAACATATGACACGTGTAGATAAAAGTCAACTTTGAAGAGAGACTTCTGAGGTGGCTGAAAATAATTGGTTGATAGTTTAAGATGTTCCAAAAGACAGGCGTCCAAACAAACAGAAAATATCTGCCCTACAGGAGACAGAACACGAAGGTACAACAAGGTTTGTTGGTTGATTACATAAGATTCAACTGTCTCGTCATCATTAACAACATAAAACCAAAGTGAGGAGATAATACCAATACGATATTTGTTGTATTTGTATCCTAATAAATTTGGCAACCCTTTTTTTTCTCGTACTTACCGCTGTAAGTTTAGGTACTATAAGAATGTTTATACTAAAAAAAATGTAATCTTTGTTAGTTTTCATTTATATAGCATACACTAATAACCATTTTAGTTTCTGTATTGTCGATAAATTTAACAAATTCATATATTCTTATTAACAAAAACTATAAGAGAAGCTTAGAGTGGGTTCCATAAAAACTTGATCCAACAATGAGAAAGTAGAATGGATTCCAAGCTCAGAGTACTTGAAGCCCACATCCGGAAGAACTCATTAGTTGTTCCTTAGCCATCATTAAAAATATATAGGCATGGGTAGGGATGGTTACGGGACCTGAACCCAACGGGTTTTGTCGGTTTTTTAGGTTGGATTTTTTATAAGATAAGTTCAGGCGTGTCAGTTCTGGTTTAAGGTGAAAAATATTCAACCCAAAAAATAATATAATTATATCTTGTATATTTATGGATAATTGTAATAATACTTCATTTATATTATTTTTTCAATTAAGACCCTATTTTATGAACAAATTAATAATTTTAGATTATTTCGAGTCAAGTGGGGTTATATTCGAATTTCATCTCAAAAGTCAGGTCGGATTTTGGGTCAGAGTCAGGTTTTATCTCAAAAGTCATGTAGGATTTTGGGTCGGATGAAATTATCCCAAACTCAAGTCCGATCAAATTTTGGGTGGAAGGTATAAAATTTTCAGATCAGTTCGGTTTGGCCGGAAACCTGACCAAACATGACCCATGCCCATCCCTAGGCATGGACAGCGAAACACATGGCTCAAAAGTCGAGAAGAGCACGTCGGCCCATGGTGGATCTAATTTTAGTCCAGGGTAGGCACGTGTTCGAATCCATTTTAGTCTAGGGTGGGCATGTGTCATGTGCCCACCTAACACGTTCTTACCATGAAATCTGAATTTTCTTTGATTTATTATTCATTTTATTGATTGTATCTATACACAAATTTTATTTGTATCTATCTCATACAAATTTTTATATTATTAATATATATGTTTGTATTATTGATATATATTCATCTTCAAAAACATTTCTAGATCCGTCGCTATACCGGACTACACCCATTACTAACCTTTTCATTCATTCATGTATGTTTATCAAAAAAAAAAAATCATTCATGTATGTACGCCCTCCAAGCCATCATTAGACCATCGATGGCTTTATTTCGTTTTATTTCACGTTCAAATCCATAATCTTTGCATGTTTATTTCGTGGCAGGCAAAATATTCGTTTAATAACCCTTTCAATGCTTAAAGTATTACGATATCAGATACGATATTAAGAGGTAATTACGAGTTTTGAATATAAATGATAGGTTAAATACCAAAAAAAAAAAATTCAATTTAAAATTTATTTTAGGTTTAAAAACTCTTTTATGGTACTATGATAATATTAGTCTTATTTTTGTTTAAATAAATTTATGCACATCATACAAATAATACTAATTGAACCCTGATTATCTAGAAGAAATATGTCATCTTTTATCATAAAAAGCACTCTTTAGATTTTATATTAGAAAACTTTAATATAAAAATTTCAAGAACTATTTAAAATTATACTACATATTTATTTTGATGTACATTTCACTTTCATAAATAAATTGTATCTCGTATTTTATCATATTAATCATGTAAATATAAACAGGCTAACAATAGTTAAATATGACAAAATCTTAAATAAAAATGAAAAGATATATTAATAATAATATTTAGAGTTAATTGCATCATTTGTCCCCAAACTATAACCCTTATTTAAATTCGTCTTTAAACTTTTGAATATTCCAAATTCATCCTCAAACTATGAATATCATTCTAAATTAGTCCTTAAACTTTTAAACATTTTAATTCATCTCTAAACTATGACCCTCTTTCTAAATTGGTCCCCAAGCTTTTGAAAATTCCTATTTCATTCCCAAATTCATCCAAATATATAATTAGTTTCAACCATCGTTTAACATAAATTTTGTTTATTTGAATCATATAATAATATAACTTGGCCTAATAATTTTATTAGCAAAGGTTGTTGTGATTAGTATATACATATAGTTTGGGATAAAATTAGAATGTTCAAAAAGTTTGGGGACCAATTTAGAATGTATGTCATAGTTTGGGGATGAAATTAAAATGTTAAAAACTTTAGGGACTAATTTAAAATAAGAGTCATACTTTGAGGATATGTGATGCAATTAACTCTAATATTTATAATTTTATATAAATGGAGACATTATGCATACTTTTGCATCCAATGTTCCTTCTTTATCATTTCTTATACGATAAGTTCCATCACGTGCTTTAAAACCATCTTTATTTATTCTGTCATAGCCATCTTAACTTTCACTTATATATATATAATAGCAAAAAGAATTCAGCTTTTGATTTCGTAGGAAGTCATTGATTGTTTTTTTAAGACAAGTTTTAAAGTAAATAATGTATGCTTTGGCCTTTTGATTTATCATTTCTTAAAAAACAATTATTATAAGCGTGAAAATTTTTGACGTTCGATGATCGAGAAATTCTTTTTTCGGTGTGTTATTTTGATATTTAGTATTATAGAAAACTCAATTTATTTTATTTTATATTATGGATTAAAGAATAATTGATTTTGGATAAAGGTTTAGTGACTAAAATGGAATAAAGGAAGAATTTGAAAACTTTAGTAAAAAGGTGAAACTTAAGTGCTTAATTGAAAATGAAGAAAACGTTTAACGGTTAAGGATTAATTAGGTCATGAAATTATTAGTTTAAAGAAGAGAAAAGATTGAGGACTTATGTTGGGATTACACAATTTTCCAAAATGGTGAATAAACAACTTAGGTAGTACATTTTTACATTTTAGTCCTAATTTCTATAATTTATAAATTAAGTTGATTTAGCTTTCCTTCTCCTAAGTGTTTCCCCATTGGTTATATCTAAGCAAGGATATCATTAGGTAAGTTACTTTCCTCATCATCTTTAACCTTTAGCACCATTGAAAACTTAAAACTCCATTAAACATTATTTTCCTCTCTAAATATTAAAGGTCTTTCTCTCACTCAAACAAAACATATTTGAAATCCTGATTCCATAAGCTTTCTATTGATATTGTCAATTTCAAGAATAGGATAAGTTTATCTAAAACCCTAAATGGGATTCATATTAGGGTTCATGGCAAAATTGGAGTATTTTGCTTAAATTGATCATTTAAGACGATGGATTATTGTTAATTTAGTGTTCTTATACCTTCCTAAAGCAAGAGGAATCGATGGAAGTCATCACTTCAAGTGGAAAAGCTAATGTTCCGGGGGTGCTTTTTTTTTTAAAAAAAAAGGTACTTTGTATAATAATTAATTATAAAGTACACTATCTCCGGGACCTCATTAAAAAACATCCCTAAATCTAAATGAGGAAAAAAAGTGAACATTGAGGTAGTGAGGAACTTATACAATTTGAGCTCTTACATCATACAAGGCATACCCCAACCCCAACACCAATCCACAACCCTACCCATACTAAAGCCAATACAGACCTTCCAGCTGCTAGTATATGGAACATAAAAAAAAAACAGATTCTGGAATAACACAACAACACCACCAGTAGGATACTTCAATACAGCACCGACCAACAAGATTCATAATACCTGCTAATAGACAACAGCATTACTCTACACATCGAGTAAAATTCACTAGCAGCAACAACCGAGAATAATAGACTCAGGACTCCGCACAAAATCTTGAACGACCGGAATCAACGTCGGCCATAAATTGTTCGTCCAAACCCTATCTGAATCATGACAATATTAAAAATTTGATCCACCGAAAAAAAACTCCCATTAAACCTTGATTGAGGTGAATGTAGTCTCTTTCTTTTTGATTGTACGTATTTTCAGTCATTAACATGTATGTAATGTTCATGTGCATTATGGCTCATTTAGAGCAATAAAGGATGACAACTATGGTATTAGTAAGTTGGGTAAGTATATATATATACATTGATATTGCTTTGATATGATGATTTCCTAGAGGTATTCTGGACAAAATCGAGCCTATGTGGTTCATGTGTGCATCTTAGAGCTATGAGCTCAAGATTGGTATTTGGTAAGTTACGATATTTTATTATTATTCCCATGGTTACTTGTCAATTTTGGGATAGATTTGGAATGTCATAGAGTACACAATGCTTGTCGAGTATTGTAAGACTTTGACCTTGTTAGTGACAAAGGGATGATGATGATCTGGTTAAACTTATGTCCAGTTAGTGACGGAGGGATTAGCCACTATTGTATGCTATTTGCACCATTAGCCGTGACATAAAGATTCATGTATTTATTGTTCGAAAGAGTATCATTGGACTTATATTTGATGTTATTGTATATTGATGCATATGAACAGTAACATGCCTATTGTTAAAGATGTTAAAGTTTCCATGTTATAATTTCAAGACACCACTCTCCTTAGTGGATTAGGATTGCATCTAGTGGTTTCAAGTCATCACCTTTTGTTTGTGTAAAGATCTTTGTTGTACTATGCTAC